TACAAACTTGGTTCGTCAATAAAAACAAAGTCTATTGGTTTAACCTTAAAATTGTAAAGTCAACCGTATTACCCTTTATTAAAGTTTAATTTTCCGTCCTTGAACTCTGTCTAAAGGGCATGGACGTGCCCAAGGAGAATTTCAACTGTTTAACAAGTACAAGCAATTTTCGACTTTATTGTAAGTCATTTAGAGTTTAATATTCTATAACATTATTTTAAATATAAATGGTGTTCCAATACTAGATATAAGTTGTTGAAAATATGTTTAAAAGTCTTAAAATAACGAGAAAATTATTTTTTTCATTTGAATTAAGTTGAAGCAACGTTAAATTCGACAGAATACTTCGTCAAAAGTTGATGCTGATGCCTATAGGCAGTGTACGCTTCGCTGTTTTGGCGAATTCCAGTGGGCGCTTGCTTATTGGTCACATTGTACTGTAAAGTGAGGACGAAGTCGTGGGCAACACGTAGTCTATAACAATATTATAAAGAGGAAAGATTTGTATTTTTGTATGTATTTCATTCACGGAAAAATTACTGGGCAGATATTAAAACCTATTTTACCATTATAAAGGTAATTTTTAGGAACCACTTGTAAACAGCGTATTTCCGACGTTAAATTTCACTAAACTCCACGCGGACGCGGACGAAGTCGTGGGCAACAGCTATACTAAAATTATAAAGAAGAATCATTTGTATATTTTTACATATTGAAATAACTCAAAAACTGCTGAACCGATTTTGTAAATTCTTTCACCGTTAGCAAGGTACTTTATCTGTGAGTGACATAGGCTATATTTTTTAATTTCACGAGAACGAAGTCGTATAACATATAAACACAGTGGAGTTCTACTATTAAATTTAACAAATTCAAGTACACTAGCACTTGTCACCTTCTGAACATTGAGAGGTAATAAAAACTGTGCTTGTGTGTGTGTGCTCCGTTCACATTAACTTGCCACTTACCTACTCACTGTCGACTGGAATAGCAATATACTAATTATCAGAACACGAGAAATTTTAATTGTTCTTACTAAATATACGATAAAAAATGTCATTAAAATGTGACCAGGATTTTTAAATTAAATATTTTAAAGATGAATTACGTTGTTTTCAATTTGCAAATGCAGCTGTAATATAAATTTTATGCTAAAAAGTTTGAAATAGATTCCTGTTATTCACACTTACATAACAAAGGGGAAAGATTTGTATTTTTGTTTGTAAACGTATAAACTTAGTGTAACATTTATTTAATAAATCTTTAAAATAAAGCGCGGAAGTCATATTAAACGCTAAAAATTAACAAATACAAAAAAAGAATGGTTAGTGAAATATGTATTTCTAACTAGGTGTATTAACTGCCTGGTATTTTTTATTCTATCCGCCATAATTTTGGACCTTAGGAAGGTAAATAAGAGAGAAATACTAAAGCACTATATCTACATATACTAAATACCAATATTATAAAGAGGAAAGATTTGTATTTTTGTATGTATTTGATTCACGCAAAAACTACTGAGTCGATTTTAAAAATTCTTTCACCATCAGAAAGGTAATTTATCTGTGAGTAACATAGGCTATTATTCTATTATTACTAATGTTTAGGAACTATTGTAATAAATATTTCTGTAGACGTACTGTAATGGACATACAACATTATTTAAACTATCTGATCTTAAAACAAGTAACTATTATAGTGATTTTTTATATGGATTAAAAAAATATTAAGAAAAGAAAGGATTCAATGTTTCTTAAAAGTATAAAACTTAAAATTGAATTTACAAAATGAACAAGTTTATAAAGAAAGTTAATTGTCTTAACACTCGCCTAAACAAAAGAATTCCAGTCGAGTGTAATACAGCGTGTAAACGCGCGTCCTCCTGATATCCCCTTATCTACTACGTCAGACTCTACCCATTCCTCTCGCACACATGACTAATTGTCGCCGCATCCTTCTCGCACGCCGGTCGCTTTCACTCATTCACTCAAGTTGGTATGACTGTTATGCTGTCTCTGTCGCTCTAATGAATTAAATCAACGTGCCTTTCGCTTCACGATAGTGATGATCACCGTTCCATGTTTGAATTATTTTGGATTTGGAATTGTTTTATATTTTTAAATTCGATAAATGGCGGTTTTTCTTTTTAAATATCCAATTAAATAACTATTTAAGTCAGACATACAAGTATTTGCTAATTATCAATAACTTCAATCAGATTTATTTTTAATTATTAAATGTTTTAGGGTTGTTTCTAAACAATTCATTTTTGCATTCTCAGGATTTCTGGCAACTTTTTTTTTACATAAAATAAAACGTTAACTGGCCACATACACTATGAAGTGTTCGTTCTCTACGTATTGTTATCTTCCATTACAGAAAAAAAAAACTGTAACAACCTTATTCTTTAGCTTTCTCTTACTTTCACCTCAATGTAAACCTAAGTAAGTTATAACAAAAAAATAGTGAAGATAAAATGTAATAAATATTAGAAATGTTTAAAACAGACTTCATCGATTAATATTCCCACAGTGTCATAGGAACAATTTATAGTCCACACAATTTAAAAAAAATGTGGCATTACACATAAGTGCCTTTGCTTTGTTGCAAAAAAAAACTAATGTCATTTACAACGATCTGTCAAACTTTGACATGGACGTCTTACGTTTGTCATAATGTGACAGATCAAAACAAGCGAGGTGAGCGGGCGACCGGATTTGTTTCGTCTGCCGATGTTACTGACCCCGTACGACCGGTTTGCTATTACGTAATAAATACAAGTGAAGGATTTTGTCTTTAATACTGGCTAATCTTAAGGCAGGTGTATGTATTTGAATTTGATGTATGAATGCGGTCTTGTATTACAATGCGCACTTTGTATGGACTGATATGGTTTTTTTCTCTGTTTATTCAAAGGTAATGTTAGAGATGGCAATATTTGTGAAATGTAACAGTGGAAACGCACCTTATGAAGTTACCAAAAATTAAAATAAACTAACAAATTCCTTACAAAACTACCAGGAGTACATAACAATCAAAGATGTCACACATATGTATTTTTAGCCCCTAAATATTAATTATGCTGTATAAATAATCTAATCTCGCGCCAAACCTGAATATTCTCAACGTAGTCGAACGTCCCCGAAGTGTGCCGAGGACGCCCGAGCTCTTGACAGCTCGTCACACGTCCGTCACTGCGTTGATAAGGATACCCACGAGTTGCGTAACTAATGGGATATTCCTGTTATTTTTATTTACAAATGTTTTAGCAAAATTACGCTGTATATTTCATTTTTGGATTATAAAGGACGTTGTATTTTAATTTTTGCATTTATTTAGGAAATGTTAAGAATGCATTGCAATTAAAATTTATAATGTTAATTTTGATGTACAATTAACCATAAATAAAATTCTCACATGAACTCGTTTTTATTTAAATCAAGATGGTTTTTTTAATACTGCTAACCCCTTAATACTGATCTGTTAAGTCCGCATATTTGTTAAACTCAATGAGACATTTTCAAAAAGACCTTGGAACAAATCCTGGACCAATGACTTTACCCGGAAGTAACAATTACACAGTCTGACTACAACGATATTTAATATACGTTCATCTATGAGGGAACAATTAAAACGAAGCTCCGATACAGACCGATCAAATAAATATGCTACAATAGATTTAAGTGGGTTCATACTTTAAGATCTAACTTACTTACAACTAGTTGTTCCCGTGCGGCTTCATCCGCTTGGAATTATGAAAACATTATTTTATTGTTTACATTTGTCAAATTCATAATTGCAAATGTCAAAATACTAAATACCTCACTATGGCAATCTTGCTTCCTTGATTTTGACAGCAACTTATGGTCTCTTTCCCACATTAGGGTTTTTATCCAAAATATTTAGCCCCTAAGATTAATGGCGTGAAAATATATAGCCTAAAGCGTGACGTAAGTGTAGGGCTTTTTTATACAAAGAAAAGAATTATTTAAAAATATGCGGTGATTGCTGACATCTTAGGCAACAAAGATGTGTGTGTTTACGCTTTATTACAATAGTATAGATTATAAATGCGAAAGTAGATGAATGGTTAGATGGATGTTTGTTAGAGTTTGAAAACTAAACTATTGAACGTATCCCGATAAAATTCGACATAGATTTAGAGGATAGTATGAATACATAGGCTAGTTGTTTATTTTTTTTAATTCCAAGCGGAAGGAGTCGCCAGTAAAAGCTAGTTTATTTATACTCTTACTTAGTTATAATTTGTTACCTACTATTTCGTAGTATAAAATGTTGAGAAGGTTGCTCTTGTTACCCACGTGTTTGTACTCTCTGAGGTTACTTCTCCGTTCGAGTCATTTTATTCGGAATGTTTAATGCTGCCCGTACTAGCTATTTAGTCGAGATACGAATTTTTTATTGTTATATCCAACAATGAACTCTTAAATGGAAAAATCCATTGATTGACAACAACCTTGAACTTGCTAAGAGTGCCACTAACAAATGACTACTACTATGTGAACCAAGTCCTATTTAGCGACGTCGCATTCTAGATTTTTGTATTTCTAGCTTTTTGAATATTGTAGTTGTTACCAATAACACAATAACGTACAAAAAATTATGTTTTTTTTAATAAGTTATATCAAGACTTTTGTTGGTAAACTTTATGGGGTAAACGGAGGCCTAAGAATTCTCGATTAAGGCTATTGCACAGTTAGTTAAACAACATTGAAATCTATACAGATACTGAAAACTTTGACTACTTATTACTTAAGTACCGGATATTAAATGAAGAATGCATTTTTTTAAATATGTTTTATTGTTGACTTTCTACGTGTCCCGATATTTCGTTCCACGGGCGTGGTGACATTAGATAAGAACGTCAACATCTATCGTTCTCTTTCCAAAGTGCATTCGAAATTCGAAATCGATCAGAAGCCGATAGATAGCGGACGTTTGTATGCAGCGTGTTAGCGGCGCGCGTGCTAACGTGATCCGCACGTGTCCCGCCGACGTGTTGCGGGTGTCACGCTGGCCCACCGCGCCCGCAGCCCGCAGCCGACGGAGTCATTGACACGCGCCAGCGTGACACACATTCCGCGTCTGACGGAACGCGAACACGTCGCTTTTCTCGCTGATTTTTTTTATTTCGTCTTCAACAACCATTGTATTACCAGCCAGCGGCCGGCAAGCGCGCGCTCCTTAATTTATGGTTTCGCGTTTTATTATCAGTGTGCCGCGTGTAGCGTGTGCGTGCGGTGGACGTCGGCGCTCGCTCTGCCTACCAGGGCGCCATAAGACGGAACAGTTCGGCTACACATCTCGCGATTTCATTTCCGCATTCGATTCAGTGTTTATTTTTTTCTACAAGTTTTGTGTGTGTTTATTGTGCCTGTGTGTAACATTAGATTCTTATTAGAAATTCAATTATACTTAAATTATCACTTGCTAAATATA